AACCTTCCTGTTCCAGAAGGCTTTTAATTGAAATAACAAGTAACATCAACTGTGGGTCCTGATGGCAATTTTTAGAATATTTATCTTAATTGTATTTTAATCATTTTATCTTTTATTGTGTTTTAATTGAATTTTAATTGTTGTAAGCTGCCCAGAGACCTTTGGGTAGAGCGATTCTACCAATGGCTCCGTAGCACATGATCCACTCGCCACTCCTGGCAGGAGGTGGGAAGACAAGTCTTGCTGCAAGGTCAAAGAGTGGTGAGCGGATCGCGCGCTGCGGAGCCAGTGGTAGAATCATGCTGTCCTCGTCCGCATTGGATCGGTGATTGGACCGTCCGGCCCCATGGGGCTGGACCCTCGTTAATGCCACCCGTGCAGGGATATTCATATTCGTATACCAATACCCCCATTTCTAAATATAATCCATTCTTTATTTTAATAAAATCCATATAATACAAATGGGACCAAAAGTCCAAGCTTTATATATGCACAGATGGAATCAGAGCTGTTAATGTGTTGTTCTTCCTGTGTTGTAATACTGAATCGTAGGATTGTCTTCTGAAGCTGAACAGCAGGTGTTTCAGGACAATCAAAAGGAAGATGGCTACCAATGTGTATGGCTTTGAAAAAGGATTAAGTAAATTAATGGAGGATGACTTTCAATGGCTGTTGCTCATGATGGCTGTATATATATATATATGTCTGTCCATCATTGAACTAACGTTCCTTCGAGTATTGGTTGCTGTGAACATAAACGAGAGATTTCTACTGCAATCATATTCTGCTTGTGGGTTTCCCATCAACAGCTAGTTGGCCATGAAAGATGGTATCAGATGGGTATTTGGTCTGATTCAGTAAGTTTCTTCTTATGCCCTTAAGGGTGAATAGGGAGCTGAGGACCAAAAGAAATGACATGCAAAAGATTGGTGTAGCCATACTGATGTGCATGTAGGATTTTGACCTTCTGACTGTTTCTCAATCTAAATTCCTTCCTTACGTAGCTAATGTGTCCCTCAGCCAAAGGCATATGGGTTATATAGCAGTTGTGGGTGGAGGAGGCTTTGGAAAATGAGAAAAAAAATTATACCCTGATCAAATTGGGAATATCCTGCGTTTGATTTTAGCTAAAAGTAAAGACTTAAGGAAACTTGATCATGTGTCTTCCCCGTCTTATCTGGTCTGGCCCACTTCAGCTCATAAGAAAGTATAACAGGGATCTGTTAGTACAGACACATTTTGCTTTCCTAAGTTTGAATACTTGTAAATCGACTTTTCTTCATGATGTGGCTGGTGCTTTGGCAGGTATCCTGCTAAAGAACGGGAGAGTACTCTTGATTTAAAGTGCACAGCTGGTTCTGCCAGGCCTGTTCAGGACTGATTTTATATAACCTAGATAGTATTGTCACTGTTTTTCTATGCAACACTGATAGCATTTGAAAGAGACAAACCATCTAGGTTGTGTGAATGGCATAATTACAATGATTACCAGCACTATATTGCACAATGTCCATTGATTCCTGTTGTAAGCTGAGTTACTTGCTAGGTCATACGGCACAGGTGGTCAGACAAAGTTTCTGGCTGTGTTTTGTTTGGTGGTCAAGAGCAATAAACCTGGATTTTTCTTGGCGTGGGATCCCTCCTCCTCCTGCTTCCTTCTGTTGTTTCTCCTAGTGGCAGGTGTATGAGCGAGTGCGGTGAGGTGAGTTCCGAACTTGGCTTGGCTCTGCCTGTGTTGGAATCCAGGACAGGTGGATCAGCGTGTAGCCGCCACGCCCAGAACAGGTGAATCACTGGGAGGCAGAACACCTGGCCTGGATCCCTGGATGGGATGAGACAGGAGACGAAAACGCTAGCGCTGACTTGGAAGTCCTGATCTGGACTTCAAAGCCAGAATGTCTGGCACTGAAGTGGGCATTATTCACCAGAGGACGCACACACCCTGTCTGCCCGAGGGTCCCTCAGATGAATTAGTGGGGACTTGGGGGTGGGGTGGGGGACTCTGGATATGTTCTGCTGGAGGTTCAGGAAAGAGGAAGAAAAAAAAAGGAACTGAGCTCTTGGCAGCATGGTCTGAAACCTGTTGGACAGGTTGGGCCGGGAGGCCTGGGAGTGCTCAGAGCTGAAGGGAAAATGCTCACCTCCTCTTCTTCTCTCTCTCCCCCCCCGCCCCACAAACACCTGCAAAGAGGCCTCTTAAAGGGATGCTTTCCTGTTGACTACTTTGGCCTTGGCAATGCCAAAGTGGAGGAGGGATGAATAAGGTGGTTCTCATTGACTGTGGCCTCTTTCTCCCCCACCTCCCCACCACCATCGGTCTCCTGGCTGGTGCCTTGAAGAAGAAGGTGGAGCTTGGGTGAAGGCTGTCTGTCATTTCAAAGTGAATGTGAGCAGGGGAGCCTCGGTAAAGGGAGCTGTAATTCTCAAGAAGGGCCTGCGAGGACCTAAACCCAAATGTGTCTAATGCTGAGGAGACGAGGGCCATGTTTAATGTTGTCTTTAAACAGAGGGAAGGCATTCAAGCTTAAAATGTGTGCCTAATTTCTATAGAATGCTTTCAACCTGGATGGGGCTTTCTATACCCCCTACAAAGCCCAGCTGTTTGTCCTTGGTACTTTCTCTTGTTCTCCCTTTCTATTGCGCCTGTTGCTTCACCTGTTTCTTTCACAAACAGAAAAGAAAAATGGAGCAAGAGGCAATGAGCATATGACACTCTTCTGCTCATAACCAGTGGAGACTTGCCCAATTAATGCATGCAAATGTGCATATTCATCCTAATTCCTGAACTGTGTTTTTTTTTGGGGGGGGGTTTTCATAGTACAGTACTGGATTTCTTGACATACATGCCAAATGGAAGTTACTAGTCTTTGATGACTATGCAAGAGCAAACTAAGAATACATGGACACCTTAGGATGCAACCCTGCACCAATGTTGTTAGGAGTAAATCCCATTCAACTCAGTGGGGCTTTGAATAGTCATAGGAACAGGCACTGACAGATTTTAGTATCTCTCCATTGTAACCTGGGACCGGTTGTCAAATTTCTACGTCCTTGATCTATAATAATGGACTCCATGATACAATGCCAATGGCATCCTTGCATTTATGTGATCTTTGCAGTCTCCTGGATTAGGTGGTTCTTTTGTGTCCTTTTTTGATAAACTCGTTTGGGAAATATCTTTCTTTGATAAACTTGTTTGGAAAATTACGTATCTTTCTTGAACTTGCTTTTAATTGGGGAGTGTGAAAGACAGTGTATTTCTCTTACCACCACCAGTTACATATCTACAATGTGTTTATGGTCCTTGACTTCTAGATTTTGTTTGTCAGCTAAAGAAACCAAAAACCAAGAGTAGTTCCCCCACCCACCCTTTTGCAACTGACTTAAAAGGATCTAGTGGTTTTAAAACAAGGAAGAGGCAGTTTTTCTGCACAAGTACCCCTTTCTGCTTCAAAGCATAATAATAATAATACTCATGTGCCGTCAAGTCAATTCTGACGTAGGGTGACTGTTTTCAGGCTTTTCTAGATAGAGAGTACTCATTCCCTTCTTCTGGGGGCACCCTGACTGTGCAGCTTGCCCAAGACCACACAGGTTGGCTTTATTCACAGGAGGCACAATGGGGAATCGAACTCCTAACCTCTCATTCTGCAGCCAGATACCTAAACCACTGAGCTATCTAACCAGCAATGCACTTTGAAGCATAGCAGCAGTGTTTTCACTGGACATTCAGGGGGTTCTTCAGATCAGATCTCCTTTAGGTTGCCTACATTGCAATTGCTTTGGGGCTATCTTACTTTTTTTTTTCAAGAGTCGTTGTTTGATTGGCTAATTTCTTATGCCCCCTCCCAAAAAAAGTGTTAAGGTCATCGTGTGTCCAAGCCATTTGCATATTAAGCAAGAGATGGAGTGACAGCTCAGAAAAAAAAAGTGCATGGGGGGGAGGGGGCACTGATCTTTCCTCATCTTTTATCTCCATCTT